AGAATTTTATACCGGATATGCAACATAACATTATCACTTTACCACAACAATAACAATGAAGAAGTAAAAACTTAATTATATATATATCATAACAAATGAGGCATACCAAGATCATCAGCAGCATTGATGTCAGCATCAGCACTGACTAAGTCTTCAACCATTCCTTCTATGGCTAACCTAGCTGCTAAAATGAGTGGTGTTGTTCCGTCATACATTCGGCAGTTCAAATTTGTTGCTCTGTTCCTCAGCAGTATCTATGAAAAATTGGGTTGTCAGTGGTATAAATTAATGAAACAAATACATTTTCTTTACAAGTTGCTATTTTTAATTTGGTTCAAGATGTAAAAGTTTTCTGAGTTCTAACTGAGGTAAAAAATATATTGCATCTTGAAAAAACAAGAGGGTCATGTAATAATCATTTACTTAATATATGAAAAATACAAATAAAAACAATGCTTCATTAACATCAAATACCAATGTCTAATAATCATAAGCGTTGGGATAATAATCTCTCAATAAATATACACATAAGCTAAATAACCAAACAAACCACTGTAAAGAGATGATTTTTTTCAAATTCTTTTACTTCAGTTATGAAATTAGTTTCTGTAAAAAGGAAAGAGAGATCTTGCAAGTAGGAATGGCAGAAACTAAAATAAATTTACAAAAAATGTTCAAATTACTACCTGAAATACACCTTGAGCATCGGCAGCTATTGCGGCATGTAATGGGGCTCGTCCAGTGTTGTCTTGAACATTGGCATCATTACCAGCATCTAAAAGTCTTTTGGCTGCATCAGCTCGGGCATACCTGGCTGCTAAATGGAGTGATGTTTCACCTACAAATTTTAATTTGAAAATAAAGTATTTAAGTGGTGGGGGGGGGGGGTATCCTCCTTTCATTAATAAACGAAATATTATATGTTTAATTAACAGAGAATTTAATAATATTTTTACAAATAATCACTAAATAACATCATATAGTCAAAAATTGTTAGGCACTGTTTATGGTATACCTGTACAATCAGTGATCATGTTGATCTTGGCTCCTTGTGAAAGCAAATCCTGGATCATGTTAACTGAACTCTCATCTTCTTCTACATCATCCACAGAATCTTGAACACCACCACGAAATGATGCCAACATTAGAGGTGTAAGACCACCTAAAGAGAAATAAAAATGATAATCTGTTGGTTGGTTTCAGATTTTGTGGTACACTACACAAGGGCTACCTGTGCAGTTATCCATAATTTTGAAATAAGAAACTAAAAGGAGGGCATCTAGCTAACACCACCCACCATCAACTTTTGTCTGATCTAATAATGGAATTTGACATTTACTCTCATACTTTAACCACAAAGGGCAGAGCCATATTTTTTATGGAAGTGTGTTGTGAACCATAAATTTTGGTTCATAATCTGGGCACTTTAACCACTCAGACACATCCAGCACATAGAACAATAATTTCATAAAAAACGATTCTACAAACGTTTTGAAAGTTTTCATTGTTAACTGGGTAGTACACTAAACATCCCTATTTGTTAAGCTCAAAGCAACGAAATGGGCTGTCTCTGCTATGCCCACAAAAGGTAACAAACCCTAATTTTTAGCATTATAAGTCCTCAGACTTATCACTATACCACCAATGGGCAACTCTAAACATAGAAAAATTTTCTTTTAATAATTGTAACTGTTTTTATTAGTTACACTGTTCAGTAAACCTTATTGAAGAATTATAGCAATTAAATTTTTAACTATCGATTAAACATCAATGTGTCTTTAATTTAATCAATTTACCTGTAATTAAAATTTAATTCATTAAAAACAAACAGCTGGGAGCAATAGGTAAGTTTAGATATCACCAAAAATAGATAACAAATTTCAAGTATTTGAGGTGTATGGGAACTTGAGTCAATTTAAAGCAAACTAAAAAATTCTTGACTAAATCTAGTGTGGCAGGTATGTACTTTGAAATATAAATTGATTTATAAAAATTCTCATAACAGAAGAATTTTATGATGTGATAAATAAGACAACAGTTACTTAGACATTAACTTTTATTGCAAACATATTTTGTTCATATCATGAGCTTTTCCAGTGAAAGGAGAATGCTTAAAATATGAGCAAAACAAATTTGTGATAAAGGTTGATTTTAATTTATCCATTGAAGTAACTAATGTCTTATTAATCATAACACATCACTTGAGTAAAATTCCTTAGTATTCTAGAAATCTTTATAAATCCAACACAACAATTTATATTATTATCCTAGATAATAACTTCAAACTTCTTGTTGTACCATTAAATAATTAAGAGTGGAATAATACCAAATGAAACCCCACATTATGCTGAAACACACACATACACACCTGGCCCACGAACATTTACATTCCCTGGTTCTAGTTCTTCTGCTTGAGGTGGTGTTTGTGCATGAACATTGGGATTTCTCACATCAGCTGCATCCAGATGTTGTTTTGTCCACTGTCGAGGGTCAGTGCTGTCGAATTCTGTGGCAGTGTTTGTATCACCATGAGTTGGGTCAGGTGTACGTGAACTTCTCATTCGTTTCATGGGAGGGTGGTCTCCCATGTCATCGTCACTCCAACCTGAAGTGCCTGGAGACACTGTACTGTTGTCATTAGTATCAACATCTACTCTCTGGACAGATGTCTGTTTATGCAAGTTCCTAAAGGTTAGAAGTAGTGACAATTTTATTATACCTAGAGATTCCTAAATATTTTTACAAACCGACAGCATTAATTATACATTTCTATAATTTATCACAAAAATTGTTACATTATAAATAAAATAGCATATAAAAATATGTAAAACAATTAGCTAGGTATAATATAACTAATGCTAATATATGCATATAGATCAAAAGCAAATTAATAATATAAAAAAAACTACCAAGCTACAAAATAGTAACCTATGTGCAATAAATAAAAAATATACAGGCATATATCATCATCATAATCACAGACCTCATTTCCTGTCCATCAGGTCCCCTTCTCCGGGACTGACGATGTTGTCCTGAACTTGTTTTCAAAAATCCTTCAGGAAACCAAGTTATACCCTTGGCATGCTTTCGCTGAGCCACAAGTACTCCAATGAACAGACCTAACAAGATGATGACAATCACACCAATGACCACATAGGTCATGTTAGGATAAATGTTTGCAGCAGTATCTGTGGATTCATTTTCTGTTGAACTTCTTATATCTTTGATTGGGAAACTTGTGTCTAAAGCTTTTTGTGATAAGGAGGCAGTCAGGAACTTGGCAGCCTGAAGTAAAATTATTAAAAAATCATGCAAAAATAAAACTAGTAGCATGTTATTAAAGCTAAAAAAAAATCTCATATTACAGATGTTCACAAGGAATATGAATATTCTGTAATTTTATATCTTTAAGGAAGTTTTCCAGCAATAATTTTAAGTTCAGATTTCTTGACTGTCCAAAGTTACACTGAAGAATGATACTATCTGTCATGGGTTTCCAAACTTTATTATCACAGGAACATTCTGAGACCCCCCACCCAATAAACCTTTATATACTTAATGCCTTAATAGTATTGTGTATTTACTAAGGGCCCAGTTTGGAATGCCTTGGACAGGTCATAACAGACTATTAGAAATACTGAAGAATCTCTCAGCCCAAATAAAGATTAAAAGTATGTTTTCAACAATGAATTATGTCACTGGTAAGCTGTCCCATACATCATATACTTATCTTTAAATATGATTGAGATAACATTTATTTTGCAACCTTTCCTTCTAATCCACAAGTCACACATTTTTGCCAGTATCTTCTCATTTCCTATCTATCTTTTTCAAAGAAATAATCTCCTTAGACCTCTTAAAATGTGCCTAGAGATTTTTACCTGATTTACTGACTGAAAACATTCACTGTAGGCAGTCTTGGCGCATCGTCGGTTGTCAATCTCCACAGTAACTTCAGTCCTAAAAAAGAAACACTATTAGCAATAATTTCATTGAAATTAATCACACAAAAACAGAATATATCAAGCCATTATTACTGCAGTGACCCAGGGTTCACCAATTTGAATAAATACATACAATCCAAATTTACAGAGTAAATATAAACAAATATAATAAATAACATAAGAGAGGATGCATGTTATAAAAGGCCAGGTACAGTGTAAAACAATACATTTATAGTACAATAGAGGAAAGAATATAGATCTATTTTCATGAAAAAGTAACTTAAACAAGAACCTTTATCACTGTTGTCAGCTTTGAAATTACTTTTATTAGCCTTTAACTTTTCCATATAATTTCTTATTACATTAAATTTAAAGTGCTATTTAGCTGTATTTCCTAGTTCTATTTTAAATGGACTGATTAAGGTCACTAACTCCCCGGATTCGATTCCTCACATTGAACACAGCAGATAGCCTAATGTGGCTTTGATCTAAGACAAACTAATCTGTTTTCAAATCCTTTAAGTGACTGCATGTAGATTTTAAATATACAAGTCAATCATTTGACCCAAGGAATATTTTGCAAAAATATTATGGCCTTTTAATACTCTTCAAAAAAAAAGTTAATGTAAAACTTTGTAGTAAAACAAACCTGCCTTTTAAAGAGAAATTCATGTTTTAGTGTTACTGGATAATTTAAAAACATTATTTCTGTATACTTCTCTGCAATAAGTCATTTACTTTAAGCCTTTAGTATAATTTTAGTATGGAAACAGACCTGTAAATATTTTCCTTCATGTGTATAAAAAAAACACTAATACACACCCAACAGATGTTCTATCTTCTGATCGCCATAGGTAAATCATTGGGTTTCCTTTGCTGTCTGTTTTTATTTTAAAATTTGTTCTCAAAGCATGTCCCATGTCTCTTACAAAAGCTGTGTAGTTCTTTTGGAATTCCTGTATCAAAAAAGTAATAATATTTTGTTCTTAATGTTAACCAGCTATAATATTTATAGATCTATTTTCACTTCACTAGACAATTACACAATAATTACGTGAAATGATAAATAAGAATAGCATATAATGTTAAATGGTTTGCTAACATATTAAAAATTGTACTGAACATGAAATAACCCTTTATTAATAATTTACGTGAAATTGTTTTTGTGTATATCGCGGTATTTTGTCTTTGTTCCAAATAAACGTAAAAATATATTGGATCACATATAAAAATATCGACAACTTAATGTGCCATGATTATATTACTTCAGTGAAACAGTTTTAACTCCTTAAACCTGAGTGGATGCTACCAGCATCCAGCTGAAAATCCCGATTTACCCATTGAATGGTGACAGCATTTAATAACATTTATGTCTCTTTGGCTGAAAACTAATCCAAAC